ACTGTGTTTAAGTTGTATTCATGGACAAAAAATATCCATGGGTGGCTAAACAAAGACATTCTTACACTGTATGTGTTCTTAAAGTATTTGCTCTGCTTCTCATTTACATCTGCGTAACACCTAGGGGTAAAAGTTCTGAAACTAATGAAATTATAGTGTGCGATATTGGTGCAAATTAAATCAGAAACCAAATTCCTGACCTTGTAGAAGCAGCAATATCAAAGATGACTTAGAAAGGAAATAAGGAGTTACAGAGCAGATTGAAAAGGAAATGATTCTGTGGCCTAAGTCTTGGGTGTTGATGGCAAATCAATGCCTTGCAATGCGAATTGCTATAGCCCCCCAGCAGCAACTGAGTCTCTCAGAAAAGTGTATTTTATTCCTAGTCTTTCAAGAGCTGTTCTCAATGCTACATCTAAATCAGACTCATTTTTCTAGCTATTTTTCATGCAAAATAAAAACAGGCGGAAAAAAAAATTTATTTGCTGCTCTTTCCAAGCGCAGCAGAATCTGTTAGCTCCTTTTCACTTTTACTGCTTCAAATGTTTCACAACAAAAGCAAACCTGCAAACTCAAATTCCAATGAACTTATGCCTGGTTTGTTCTTTTAAATATATCTTTTTCTCATTACATATCATTCATTAATGAAAGAATGCTTCTTACTCAGAAAGGAAGTATTTAAAGGAACAGGCAAGACTACATAGCACATAAATTAACTTTTTTTATAGACATAGTTTTTCTTAGACATAGGCAGAAGTGCAACAATTTCAGCAGAACATGTCAATGAAAATCACAATATAAAATACTTTGATTTTTCATCATATTGCAAATCTAGCCTCCAGACTTGCCTGAGGTTGCACAACTGAGAGACTCGGTACAACTAATTTTAACAAAAGTCCTGGAACAGAAAAAAAAAAACTTTCCTCCAGCCATGCTGCCCACAATACAGAAAGAGATTGAACAGAAGACCAGGGGAAAACAGTGCCACTGGGACACAGGTTGGTGGTGTTCACTGCAATCACACATTTTGGAAAGCTCCGTGGTGAAATGGTGGCAGGAACAGAGCTAGAGATTAAGCACAACAGAATTCAGTAATTTTCTGGTTTCCTTGCTTTAGAAACGTTTCCTAATGCACAAGAGCAAACCCTTATTAATGAATTCTATGCAACACAGAACCGAGGAGAAAGCAGTTGAAAAATCGTAATATCCCCCCCAAAATAAAGCAGAACAGGCATATTAAAAAGAAACAAAATAAAAGAACTTTGTATTGTCAGAGCCACAGGTCTAAGTACTCCAAAAAAATAAAATCATTGAGGCTCTTTATACTCTGCAGTTGAACCTGCAAAGTGTCATTGGAGATTTTTTAGTGAAACATCACAGTGTAGTGGGAAAAGACAATCAGGCTTTTGCAGCAAATTCATACTTTGCCTGTTTCCCTTATTTTCCCTGTGCCCTAATTGAGCTTAACAGTTTACTGGCACTCATTCTTCAGGATTTAAACCAAGTAAAATCAAGTGCTCCGGGTTTACAGACCCTGAAGGCAGTTTCTGTTCATAGTTATTGATATCATCAGGAAATGTAACTTGAACACTGGAAAGACTAAGGGGATGGACAAGAACTACAGCCATAAACTGTAAGCTATGGCCTTGCACAGTGTGTATGTGCCTGTCTCTGAAAGAGGAAAGGAAATTGGGAATAATCTCCCTCCTTTTCAGCTTCCTTTTATTCTTCTTTTTCTCCATTTCTGCCAACACGTACTCATTCTTAGCTGATGAAACAAGGACAGAATAGTGCTTTTTGATTTCTCTCATAACTTTTGTGGTTGACTTCAAATTCAACTGTAACTGCCCTGTGTTTCAAACAACTTTATGCCACACAGACTTATCTTCTTAGGTAATATGTCAATGAGTGCATTGTGCTACATAAATACTCAAAAGAATGACAGTTTAACCTTGACTTTTCTTAAAGGTCCCTTTTTGCTGGAAAAATTAGCACTTTTTTGTTCCAGGAAAAAACACTTTACACATTAATAAGGAAACTTCATTGTGTGCCTCCCTCTAAACATACATATATCAGTATATTACCATTCACCTCAGTGATACTCAGACTGATACAGCCTTATCTGAGAGAAAAATGATACTTTAAATTTTTAGGTAATTTCTGTTATTTACGAAAAACAGCTGCAAACCTGAATGATTAAGAATGTAGTGTGCTTCACTGTCTGTCATTCCAGTGACTTGTTACTTCAGAATTAAATCAAACACTAATTTCCATCTAAAATCATCTTCTGCTTGTTGTCTAGTTTAACTATTTGCTTCAGAAATTTCTGCTGTCAGGATGGTGATGACTTAATATTTAATCATGGATTTCCAGACAGAAACAGCAACAAGAAAATTTTATGCTGATTTCACTGTTTTTAAAGATGAGTGGTTTGTTTTAAACAAAACAGTAACCTTGCAGGAAAAGATGTGATTTTTCTAGGGGTGATTTGGCATTTTTCGTTTCAAAACTTGGGGGGGGGTGGGGGGTTAAAACATTTAAAATAAGAATTGAATCGCCTGAAATTGTGACAAAAGATCTTTAGTAGCGGATTTTATTTAGGTCGTAGTGTAAATAGTTATTTTGGGATTTCTGTTTCTCTGAAGAAAACCTGAAATACTATATTTGGGTTAAGCCAAAACTTAATTCATTTTGTGCTAATTTATGACTGCAGCAGTTGAAATCAAGAAGCTATTATTTGCACAGGCTGTGAAGTTTTACTAGCTTTAGGAGACCTTTAAGTAGACTCTTGAAGTGCTGCTTGCCTTGCCGTTCAATATAACACAGAAAACTGGCCAATAAGAATTTGGAAGTAAGAAAAAAGACAAACAACTTTCTTTTGAAATTGTTGTTAATACAATTTAGTAGGCCAAACTGGCAACCTGCACTCTTACTGTGATTTCTAGCAGCTCTGGGGCATCAGTGACACAGGGTTCAACCAGATTAAACGACATATATTGCTGGAAAGCTCTACTGTTTCAGTTCTCAAGCACTGCACAGGTGAAATGTTCAGTATAAATACGGATTAGCCTGATTACACTTTGAAAACTTGTAGACAAAAATCCTTCCATTTAGTACCTATGATATTCCATTTATAAATAATTCTAGGAATAATTTCATATGCACAGCTGGTACTGCAAGACTTGCTAATTAAATATCAAGGCAAGTAATTGGACTTTCAAGAGTTCTGAAATTACAGAAATCCTGAATGGTGTTGAATACTTATCATTCCTGGCAGGTATAAAATCACAGCATAAGCAAAGTGCAACTGCAAATCAATGGACAGAAAGCTTAAGTATTGTGGTGAAACAATGGAGTTGAGTCTTCTACCTGTACAATGTGTGCAAGGCACAGGTGTAAATCCCCAGCAGAAGAATAGTGGAAGTTATGCCCAAAAGAGTACAAAAGACATGCCATTTAATGAGAGACTGTGATTTCACAACTTATTTTTATGGCATCATTTCAGATACATAATTTAGTCCAGAAATGTCTATTCACATACAGTCACAACTTCTTCCCTCCCCCAAAAGACATCTCACATATAGTCCCATATACATCTATACATGTCTAGCTATAGATATACAGATGGACACTTACCAAAGGTGAAAGTGATACTATGTTTTGGTGTGTTGCCTTCCCTTATAATAATACTGATCTTCCTTCTGCAATGGTTTACAGTTAACTGATGAAAAGTGCTTTAGAAGAACCAAATATTATTAATGTTGTTGTATGTGTGGACAGATGCCCTTTTTGTATCTTTAAGTGATGGCTGGTATATGTATCAGTAATAATAAGTATTCTCATAAGCAAAATCATGTACAGTACAGTCCCAGCCAGCAGGAAAGCTTGTAAACTGGTGCCAGATATTAAATGAAAAATTGCTTTATCTTTCCCACAGGAAGATGTAATACGAGTTATGGATGGCACCATGACATTTATATGTAAAATGATTCAATTAAGTTAGCTGAAATGTTATAAAAATATCAACCTAAGATGTGTAGGTATGGGAAATTTCAGTTTTGGTTGGTTTTTTTTTCCTGGCAACACTACAAACAGTAGGAAATGGCAGCTTGTACAGAGAAATGAAAGTAACTGTTGATAGCGATCCCTATTATTCCTCAGTATTCACAGTACAAATGAACAAGAGACCTCCCAGCACAGATCTATCACGTTTGGTTTCATTTTACCTACAGAAAGAAACTCTGTTGTGTAAATGTGTGACACACTGTGTTGACAATGGTAGCTGGCTAGTATTTGGCATAGCTGAAGAGGGGAAGACAGGAGTGAAGATTTTACATGACTCTCAACTTTTCTTCTTGTATTTCAAGTGCAAAACAGAGCTCCTCTTCATTTGTGCTTAATGGAAACTATGGTAGCTAACAGATGTTACAATGCCTGCAAAAAACAACAAATAATGATAAACCAGCCAAGGAAACTGTTAGCCTCTGAAATTACACAGGATATTGCAGTTGCTCATTTCCTACAACCTAGTGTTTACTCAAATCTAATGATTGAGGACAAGGAACATTCTTGCTGACCACAGCCAAAAAAGACACTAGGGTCAATAAAGGCCAAAATGAGGTCTCCAGATAAAACACCCTGTAACCTTATTCCATGATTAGCTGCATAGAAAAAAGTAATATTTTAGATAGCTAAATATAAGTAAGCAAATGTATTACTTGGAAGAATCAATACAAATAAAGCTAGAGATGATTTGCATGTTATTTTCCTTAGGAAAAGGAGGATCTCCAGCCAAGGAAAAAAAAAAAGAAAGAAAGAAAATAAACAGAAATTTAGGAAAGGCAGATTATAAGGAAAATTGTATGAAAGCATATTCACCTTTGCTTTGACTAACTTTAACAATCAAATGCAAGAAAATTATTAATGGATGTTGAAATGCTAGTCCAAATAAAAAAGGCTAATGTATATTGTAAAATAGCATTATTACTTCCTTCTTTCAGGTGGTAAAAATGATGATTGTGGTTGTGCTGACATTTGCCATCTGCTGGCTGCCCTACCACATTTACTTCATGGTTACTGGGATCTATCAACAATTGAATCGGTGGAAATACATTCAGCAAATCTATTTGGCCAGCTTTTGGCTTGCCATGAGCTCCACAATGTACAATCCCATTATCTACTGCTGTCTTAATAAGAGGTAAGAATTGGTTATGAAACAGTTGGCATGCATAGCTTCAATGGGAATATAAATGGTTTAAATGGGATAAAAGACAAAGAATTTTCACTTGAATAGTTTTCAGTTAGTGGGAAAGAAAACAAAACAGAAACTTCCTTTAGGTTTGTACTTAAAATGAATCCTAAAAAACCAAATGCACACTTCCAGTAAATACTTCAGTCTACTGAAAATTTCAGAGCAAAATTCAGTATTCAGAAACCAACCCTTCCCGTTTCCATATACAAAATTTAAAATCTAAAGCAGTTTAATATTTTTTGGCTTGCAAAACATTAAATAAAGAAGTAAAGAAAGTCATTAGTGATATACAGTGCAATCTGTATGTTCACTAACTAATTGTAGCCACAAATTTGTTTTCAGTGCTGGAAGGATATCATATAAAATGTGATTTATTGTGTATTTTATACCTCACCATTAGATTTCTACTGGGCTCTGAGGTCTGTAACAGGCTAATAAAACAAATATTTATATTCTCATTACTCAACACTAAATTACAGTATTGTTTGATAGCAAGGCATTATGCTCTGAATTTCAGAGGCACTGCATTTGTTGAGTTTGGCGAGATTTTATGGATATTTGGCAGTTTGAAACTACTGGATTGCAGAATGAACTCATGTTTTTCATTTCAGCTTGTAGGACCAGGATCTAAACAAACATCATCCTGGCCATCCTATTTTTCAGTATTTCTTCTAGTATTATTGGATACAGACCACCAAGAACAATGAATCAGTTCACAAACTCAGTCAGTATGAATCAGTATTGAATAAGTAATCTGAAATATTATTTGAAATCTCTTTTGAATGAGCAGCTAGTGTCAAGTTTAATTGCTGGCAAGCTTTATACCAATTTTGTTAAATATTTATAAAACCCCACTAAAGATCATGCAACACTTGTCAAAAGCAGTCTAATCAAAAATGAAGTGACCAAATCCTGCCGAGTTTTTATTGGTGTAAAAACACTGGAGTCTGCCTCCTTGATGTGGATAGCTTATGATGCTTAACATTCACAGCCTTTTAAAATATCAAGGTAATGCCTGATTTCATACAGCCTTCTGCCCCTTTTGATCATTTACAACTGTTTAAAGAACAGGTAAAGTTTTAGTATGCCAGAACAAAATCCTAACTCAAATAGCGAATTTCCCATTAATTTCAAGAGAAAGCAGATCTCACTGGGTGTCCAGTGTCTACAACATCACAGGCGAGGAAGAACTACACCTCATATTTTCTCAATTGCTACCATAAAACCTCTAAAACATTGCCATTTTCTTCAAAAACTTTTTATGGCAGAGTTACAAAAGATGTTATTCATAAAAAATCAGTCTCTCTGATGTGGCTTATGTTGACACTCGTACAGTGCAAAATTAAACATCTGGATTAAAGAATATGAATCAACAAAAATTTCATAATTTTGAGACACACTAAAGGTCACCTTGTTCAGAATTTAATGGAAGAATGAAATACTGGTGAAAGTTTTCTTATAATTAAATTCCATATTGAAATCAAGAAGCCAGAACATCTGCTTCCTTTTCATGCAGTAGGAAAATACAGCCTCTTGCTGGGAGTCAGATCAATTCATGCAGTATTGTTACATCTGCTGGATCTAGTATCAGAGTTATAACACCTATTCCCAGCCTCATCTTCCAGGCTAATTAGGATATTACTTACGTATCCAGATAAAAAGAGCATTATTTCAAGATGAAGAAAAAACATGCCCTGAATGAGAAAGAGGATAGAAGGTGAGACAAAAAAATACAGTCTAAAGATGTTTAGGTTTTACAGCTTCCTTCACTAAATCTATTTCTATCAGAGGTTCTTCCAATATTTTTTCATAATGTGGACTGCTGAACCATTGCTCCAAAAAGCTTACAGACACAATAAACAACACAGCTGATTGTTGAAACAAAAACAAGAGAAGCAAGACAAGTGAGAAGGTCTGATAAGTTTTAGGTCTAGGTGAAAAGGTGTTTTTTTCAGGTTACAGATAATTGTTTTTCTAATATATTTAACTTCTATTCTGGAAATGCATGCACACAAAAAGCAACAAGTCTTTATAGTAAATCTCTGCCTCTGAATTGAAATAAAATAACACTGTATGAATATTGCAAGCACTAATGTGCTAAAGCCTCAAAATTCCCATTTGTACATTGTTCACATTCAGTTTTCAACTTTCTAGGAACTTCTTTAATTATTACAAATTATTTCCAAATATTTTATGTGAACAATTATTAGTCATTACATCACTTCCATTTAAGCACCTCTGTTAGAGAGGGAAACACAGAAAGGATATTGGAATCTGGAAACTGGGATGGTATTTTAGAGAAAAGAATGCTACAAATTTTCTCGCCGAGAGAAGATGAAAATATGGGTGCAGATTTCATCATAGGTCAAATCAAAACAATTTCTGTGAAGACAGTGCTATGAAAGCTGGTGTTTGTTTATTCAGGCATGGGCAAAGGAAGGGAAATCGAGCATCAGGAAAATACCAATGTTAAAATGCAGGGAAAGTATATAGAAAATCAGAAACAGAAATGAGCTGTTACCACTGTCATTTTTACCCTACTCAGACTTTAGTCAAGCAAGATCCCACTGACTCACCACAAACAGGATTAGGGGCAAGATAATTAGCCGAGTCAGTGTCCTCTCAGCGTGGTGTATGTTTTCAGATGAAGGCCCGCGGTGGGCTCTCACAAGCACAGGCTTTTGCCGCGCATTTCTCCTCCCAGGTTCCGAGCTGGCTTCAAGCGAGCTTTCCGCTGGTGTCCCTTCATTGAGGTGTCCAGCTATGACGAGCTAGAGCTCAAGGCAGCCAGGTTTCATCCCACCCGGCAAAGTAGCCTATATGCTGTGTCCAGAATGGAGTCCAGCATGACAGTGGTGTTCGACACGAACGATGGAGACAACACCCACGCCAGCCGTAAGAAAAGAGCAGCTCCGAGGGACACAAGTTTCAATGGCTGTTCACGGAGGAATTCCAAGACCATCTCCACAGCCTCAAGTCTCATCAGTTCACTGCACACATCAGCAGATGATTATTCCTAAGCATTTCATGGTGCCAGTTGCTAGAAGGGCAGCACTGGACAATGCTCTCCTGCTTTGGGACTAGATAGTCATACCACAGGAAAGCAAACATAATTCCACTGACGAACCCTAGCTATAAATATCATGAGACTTTTAGGCATCACTTACTTTTCTGCTTTAGAAAGAAAGAGGAACTTGAAGACATATGTATGCACCAGTCTGAAAGCACAGTCCCACCTTATATACAGCAATGTTTGTAGGGATTATCCAAAATAAGCTAACGGCATAAAAAACATGTTTCAGCTTTATCTGACCTGTGGCATTTATGTTTTACTTACTGAACTGTAACAGGCTCCTTTACTTACTGAAGCTGAAATGTACGATGCTTTTCTATTATAAGTGTATTAATTCTAGAGTAACGAAATTACATAACATCTGATAAAAAAATTCTTTATAATGAAGACCTAATGAGCCCAAAGTCTATTCAATTGTTTTACAATTTAGCCCTATTCCCAGGCAAATAGACAAAATAACGTTCAGGTGAATGAAGTTCAGCTCTGTCTGCAACAGTAGAATCTTTCAAATATATATGAAAAATGTTTTTTTAAAAAGGAGAAAATCTCCAAGAGACTAAATTAAACTCTACCAAAGTTTCTGTATTAGTGAACATTAGATTCCAATGGAATGTATACTTCCAGGAGGGTGTATTGCTTAGATTAACGTCCCATAGCTTTCTGTCTTGGTGCTAAGGGTAAGATCTTCCTTCTTCAGCTCCTAACAGGAGCTTTGTGATTGACTTTAGAAAGGTCAAAAGATTTTAAACTGGAGATTCACAAGTAAGAAAAATACCACTGTGGCAATGAACACTTCTCTGCAGAAGATACAGTAACATGTTTCACTATGAAATACCTTCACCAGAAAAAAAAATATTTGGGCTATTTTCCCAAATTTTCCATAGCTAGATGCATGTAAAAATACACCTCTGTCTGCATCTGAAAACATGTTAGGCATTATTACACAGACGCTTTCCCGCCCAATTCAATCAAAATCCACTGACCATCACTGTTGCAAAGAAAGCTGAACTTAATACAAAAGGGACCAGAGGGCAGCCTTTGTTTTAGATAAATGGCTGTATTAGTTGCCTGGATCAACTGGTTGTATGAATGTTCTCAAACAGTAAATCAGAACTTAAGCAAAAGAGTGTGAATGCCTTCTGAGTTAGCCAGACCAGCACAGGGGAGTGCTCAACCCAACATGGTACCAAAACTAAGCAATTAACAAAGAGAAGTTTGATGGGAGAAAGGCTTGAGCTGGCTTTAGCCCGCATTCCTTCCCAGCGACTGGGGATGCCTGGCATTGTGACAGTGAGCATATCATAAGATACTAGTAATGAGAATCATGTTTGTATTGTGATTCATCCGTATGGTCAATTGCTATATTCTGCTAAGTGTAATTTGTATTTCTACTGTGATTTCAGTGCATTGCTGTATCACTCTGCTAAATCAAAATCCTACATAAGGTGAAACATCCTCAAATAAGTAAATCTGGTGTTTAACATTAAACCCTCCATGTGTGGAATAATTGAAGAACCTGGTCTTAGAGTACTGTACTCTGATAAAAATGTATCACAATTCCAGACTTGCACTTTTCCTATCCAAGGCCTGATCTTAAATCCACTGAATCAAAGAGCTCTGTTCATTAATGGCTTTCCTCTTAAATGACGGTTCATGTTTTTCAATGGTCTGCATTTCTGAAAAAACAGATTTCTTTTCCATCATGCCACAGTTGTACTCTCACTTTTCCTTAAAAAAAAAAGTGTATAGTAATCCAGCAAGTATCATGTAATGCCTATAAAAATATTTTTTCTATTTTTCCCCCTGAAATACTCCATTTTAAGAATTTAAAATCTTCACAGGTGTTTAACAGCTCTGCTGAGAAGATTCAGGATAGCTGCATACACAAAAAAAAATGAACCTAACCATATTAACCTGATGGTGACAAACACATGCTGTAAAGTCCTCTGTCTGCTCATGTACAACTGCTGAAGAACATGCATACAGAAAATGTATAGCTGTTAAATAAAGTGTCTTTTGTAACTATGGCAATTACAAATTCAGTATTGATAAACATCAATACATGAATGCAAGTTTGAACAATATGGTTGTAGTGAGATTAACTTATTGTTTTTAAATGTAGAGTATAAATCTTAGAAAGCCATATATAAAAATACAGCATCACAAATGTACAAAACATCATCCTCATATAACTTTTATGATCCTTGGCTGACAAATATTGAGGAAGCAATGGTGGCTTCCTCACAGCTGTGTCTTAGCAAAACAATTTCATTGCACTAAGTGTTTTAGGATATGACCTCCTGGACAAGTAATCCATTGATAAGCTCACTATATTTTGGTAGGGTAGGGGTATCAAAAACACCCTCACCATTCCTGTAGTTCTCCTCTGAAGTTACAGGACATTCCTGTACAACAGATGAAGAAATCCATGCTCTTAATCACAGCATTGCTTTAACAAAACATTACAATGATACATGGTGCAAATCCTTCTCTCTTATCTCAGCCTCAAAAAACATGAAGGGTTACACAGTGAAACAAGTTGCACAGAAAAAGCTGCAACTGACAGCAGGTTGCATTTGAATGACTACTTCTGAACAAACATTTCGGTAAGTGTCCTGGTCACTATAAAATTCATTATAGGCCTCTTGACATTCCTCACTGAAGGTAGAGGAAATCAGATCATCCTCAGTTTGTGCCAATAAGATTGCTCAAAGTAGTAGCCTGTATGCAGTGCACATGCTTCTGTGTGACAATTCCTGGTGCAGCACTGTAGCACTCTCACGGCTGCGCTGCAACCCTCAATCCACGTTCTTCACTTTTGCTGAGAGGTGAGTTCAGGAAAATAGGCAGATACAGAGATAGCTTCCTACTGAGAGGGGCAAATACTCAAAACCAGCTACAATTCAACAGCATCAGGAAAGATCTTCTGAATCCTTCTCATGTATAAGAGTTCTTACTACTTCAGCCCAGGCTCCTACTGGAGTCTGTCTCTAAAATGTTTATGTGATGAAAAGACTCCATTGCTCCCTGAACTGCCATTTTGCAGTGAGGTTCCCTTAGCATAGGACAGGTTTAACTTTCACATCTCCAGAGACCATATGTTCAGCATCAGTTTTCTCTGTCATTCCCCTGACACCGGCTAAACTTGTGTTTAAAAAAAAAAAAAAAAAAAAGCCAGAGTGAAAAAAAGCTAAACATGACTACATTTAAACACAGATCTTCAAACTCATTTCATAAATAGAGATTTATAATACCCTTGTCTCAAGTCTTCCACATAAAAGCATGATGTTGAGAGGAAAAATGAACTCTGAGTAAACTGAGGGTACTCATACACGATGCATTCAGTAGATTGCAGCCTGTAGCTACTTGGCAGGAATCCCTTGACAGCCTCCCTTCCAGTCTGCTTAAGTCTTATTGTCAAGGTTGGGAGGCATTGGCAGAACTGCATGGCATGAGCTATTTGCAGCATGTTTACATCTGGTAACTAAATGTGTCCATTGAGGAAGGTCATTGACCAATACTAATATACATTTTCAGAAATAACATACAAAAGGAGCTAGTATAGAAAAGGAGAACAAAACACAAGTTTTAGAAGCTGCCTTTTTTTTTAACTAGATAAAAACATTCAGGTGTTTTGGACTTGGATGTTTCTCCTTTAATACCAATGAATTTCTTTTGCAGCAGTAAACAAGAACCTCCTATTTCACTAATATAAATTTCAAAACCTTTCAGGGTGTTGTCTCCAGGAAATACAAAGTTTATAGAAACACTTGTTCCTGTTGCATTTATTTCAAGACTTTTGAAGTTGCCCCAGCTCAGGTAGAAACTTAAATCTGCTGTACTGCTTCCTCTAGTTCAAGATGAGCTTTAAATTAGAGTCCCAATTACTGTGTGCTGGTTGTTAATGAAGACCTCCACATATTGCTACAAAAGATGCAGGAGCTACTGCTTAGAATACATCACCGTTTACAAATGTTGTGTGAGTTCCTTGTATTAAATAACACATTCAGTTCAATTTAAGTCTTCCTGTTCATGAGCAGATTCAAGTGGTTCTATGTTTGTAATTCAAAATGATTTCTTGAGTGCAGTCAAAGACAATTCTTTATCAGTCCATGAGCAGTTGCGGTGGGTATTTAAATTCAGATTGTTACAGATGGGTTCATATATCACATGGTATACGGGTTTTGGCTAATTGGATTGCCTCTCTCCTATCTACAAGACTGAAACATGCATATTGGATTACAACTGGAATCAGATTTCCCAAAGCAAATGGTTACATTTACAAATACCAAACTTGCCTGTTATGAGTACTCTGTAACATAGCCTCTGGAATCACTATTTCCAAGTTTCCCAGCAATAAGTTTTTGACTGCAATATTTGTGATGCAAACAAAAAGGGAGACCAGCACCAGTCACATGAATTGTATTTCCAAAGCACGCTCACTTCAAAAATTCATGTTGCCCAGCCTGCTTGGATTTACATGGTTTAGATTATTAAAAACCCTAACCATTTAATCAATAGGCATTCACCAACTGAATGCTACAAATCTGTTAACACTTGAAATACTCAGCAGCTCTTCTATAACATTGCCCACAAATTCATATGCAAATGAGAGTAACAAGAGATCAAGTCTGTCGATGCTATACACACCAAGACTTCAGGCAAGCTTCTTCCTGAATGCAATTGTGCAGAGCATCTCCAGATTGGCAGAGATTCTGCCAGATGAGGTCTGACAAGTCGAGGACAGGGAAAGGTTCCAGTGCCAAAGGACTTCACAGAGCAGCCCAGCCAGCAGCTCTTCTCCCATCTGCAATACTGAAACCTACCTCTTGGACGTTAACTGAAAAACTTAAGGCAGCCAGCAACACCTCAAAGATCAAAGGTACTGCTTTTCCTTGGCTCTACTCAGTAGGGCCTTACACTAGAGAAAGGAAGCTTTGCATTCAG